CTTAGTTTGAACATAACACCCGGAAGGGAGTAATCAGCTGTGCATGTGGGCTGAATAGGCAAACTATTACTTTTTGGTTTTATTTTCGGACCACCAAATACAATTAATTATGATTACTCATTTAAAAATAAACATAAAATTTATATAAACTCCTTATTACTTTTAAATAGCCTTTTCGATACACTGGCAAGAGCTAATTGCTTAACATTTATTTCTGTACTTTCTCAGCGCTATCTTTCATATCCAATTCCCAACCCTTATCTCTTACCAAAATATCTTCCCACATTGCTCTGCATTGAAAATTGTATTTAAGCCCACACCTCCCATAACCATTTGGTCTATTTCCGAACATAAAACTAGATGTTCATAGAGGCGCGCACAGAAAAAATAAAACTAAACACATAAAATGCAATTAAATTTTTTACTACTTTAATTTGCATTTAATAAACTCATCAAAAACTTTTTAAAACAACATTTGAAACAACTCAATTCGTTTCACATCGATATTCTGTGGCCAACCTAATTTTTTACACCTATAAAAATGCCACAAAAATATATATGCCCATGGATAACCCCACAAAGATTTCAACTGTGTGTAAAAATCAACAGGCAACGGTGATAAAAACAATGCCACATGTGTCTAAACAAAGGATTCCAGCGAATGCGACGTGCGCTAATTGCAATAAAAGACATGAGTTATAAAAATACATATCTACTATAAGCTCAGCTGACGACCCGACATATACTATACTTGTAAATGCTGGCCGGCCACATAAAACTAAATTAGTGGAAAAAAGTCTAAAAATTATTTTTACGAGCTAACCGAAACTTGCCTCAAGGTAGAGAGGAGGTGGAGAAGAAACCCCAAATGCAACAGAAATGACTTCATAAATTTCCAAAGTAGACAACGGCACGCGTTTTGGAAAATGTCATAAACTAGATACATGGAAATCTGTATCTGACAGCTTGAAAGCCAAACACGTGTGGATCGAACGAATGGAAGGAAGAAAGAAGAAAAAACTGTTCTCGCTTGCAACATAAAGCTGTCAAATTAGCTGGAAAAAAGGAAAGAATTTGAAAATATCTTGGAAGATATTTAAATTGCTACAAGAAATGGTTCTAATAGCTTATGACGTGCATATTACTTATACGCCACATTGACTGCTAATTTTGGAATGGTAGCAACATTTTTCAAATGCCAACATCGCCACATTTGTTTCGACTATGAAAAGGGAGGGGGAATTTCAGCTGCACGTAATCCTTTTGACTTTCGTAGCTATTGTTCTGGTTGCTGTTTTGCCAGCACATCTGTTTTGGCAATTGCCCAATTTGGGACCCCGCCCAGCAGTTTCTATACCCTCTCTACCAAAACGATAAAAGGACGTATTCAAATTGTGACTACACTTGTAACCAAATGCAAAAGCTGTGCATCTGATTTAATGGATTTAAAATTATTTTTGTTAGTCTGATGGACTGTTTGAATGTATGAACGTCGCGTTCTCAGAGACCTGTAGAGAAAAAGTCACCAAAAACACGATGAGCATTGCTTTGAACTTACTGAAGATGAAGTAACAAACAATTAAAATTCAGCAGTTTCTGGAACTAGACTCCCAAACCATTTCTTATAAACACTTTCAGCAAATATGTTCACCACAAGTTATTTACAAATATCAGAACTGAGTTCTGTTGAGTACATATTCTAGATTAGTTTAAAGTGTACTCCCTAGTCGAGATCTCATTATTATTTTGCAATTTCAAAACCACCAATGATGATACTAAATGCTGCAATTCGGCGTTTTGGATTAGTTGGGTTGTTTCAATCAGGGTTCGGGGTTGTTTTGCGGCGAGCCCTCAAACAGCTGCTTGATTTTTCCCAGCCTTCTCCCAAAAATTGTGAGCATATGTCGGATACCACCACAAGCAGAGCATCCCATCTGATGTTTTTTGATTTTCAAGTGGCGCTGCCATCGCTTTATTATGAAAATGTTCGTTGAAGATGTGCAAAGCAATATTTCAATAAATGCATCAAGCCCAAGAAAATATATACATACAAGTAGTAGAAAGAGAAACGTACAACTCATCCCACTTCAACTAATTTTCAGTCGACGGCTATTAAATGTACAATAAATGAAAAGTAACAACTGTTTTTGTGGCTCGCTGGGCAGCGCGACGAGGGCCAAGGCAGAGTGAGGGTCGGCTAGGGAGTAAAGGCAAAGGTGTTCTTTGTTATTATATGCATCAGCTGCAGCACCAAAAGGTGCTTGAGAAGGTAGGGCAGAGGCATTAGAGATGCGTCAGGTAGGCAGTCGTTTTTATGATAACCACTGGCCCCGGCACTTTTATTGTAACACATTTTTGATTACGAAAATATGCTAACACCTCACAGCACAAACAATGACGGCCAAAAGGAAAATAAAGGCAGACAACATAAGGGCAGCAGGCAAGAACGCGCTGCACGCTTCATCATCAATTAGAGTTACCTTTCCGCAGGGCAGGATCAGACGCTATGATTATTGCATTAGCACTCACACAGACGAATAGAAAAACGGACTGGCCCAAGCCGTTGGCCGACACCTTTTGTCCACTACTGTATGACTGTGTAGCTTTCCTCTCCGCTTTTGTTCGATTTTTTTTGTGGGTAGGTGTTGGACCCTTTGGCCCATTATCATTGAAATTACTGACGTTTCGGCCGATGTTGTGCCTTGCATAAATTAAAAATCATGTAACAAGCAGCAGCAGCGTCAACAGCAACAGCAACAACAACAACAACAATACGAGTATAGCTAGAATAGGTGCTGGGATTTAGCCAACAGACATTAAACGCTTGTTTTCCAACGATTTGAAATTACAGACGCCCGGCCTTAGCCCCAATTGTGTTTGATTTAAGCCGATAAAAGGTGCTCGCTTTAACGCTTTGCCTTGCCGCTTGGTCTTTTTTTCATTTCCAGCCTAGGCCTAGGCCTTGGCCACCAAACCACACGAACAGCAGCAACTTTCAACAGATTTATGTGAACGCTGCATGCCACATCAAAGAGTTGAATCCAAATGCGCGCCGCTTTTACACGGCTTGTTGGCTTTGAATTAATGTGTGTTGGCTAAGATAGGAAATACCGTGAACTGTATACGTATGTATGTACCTTTGTGTGTTTATTTAAACATAAACAATATTCAATTTGAATTCAATTCAGGCGAACGGGTAAAAGGAAGTGCACGCATCTACATACAAAGGCCTGCTGCACTTCCTTTTGGCCAAACAAGAGCGACTCGGTGCCTGATAATGGCGCAGGGCACGCCATTCAATCAACATCATTATGATTAAGTATTTCGCTTCAGATATATGATTATGGGTCGTCAATCCGAGCGCACAATGCAACTCAATCAAAATCAATTTGGCTTAACGCATACGAGTATCCCTTCTTTTTTATGTCTGTTGCTCACGTCCTTCTGCCTACCTGACGAAGGACGAGAGCAAACTGTGGCAGCACTTTCCCATTGATTGCTCATTATTTTGCCATTTTTATCGGCTTTCATTGTTCAAGAGTGTGTGCGTGTGTGCGTGCTGAAGTGTCATTGTAATGCTCAAGAGCTGCACACTCGAACGCACTTTTCACAGAAATTCATTGAACGCTCTTTCAAAATTGCATTCTCGATGAACAACGCAACAAGGTGGGCCGGGCCGCCCAGCATGTCAAGTTGTCGTATTTGATTTTGAGTTTGAGTTTAAGTTTTGATTGAAGTGCCAAAAGGGGGTGTTCCAAAAGGTCTAACCCATGCATAGAGCGGCAAAATACGAAATACGAAATATAATAGCAAACAAAACGAACAACATACATACATATTCATTACATTCAAATTTAAAAATGCAGCCCCAAACCGGTTTTCAATTCAATATGCTCGACAAAGTTACAAAAAACTATCAACTATTTAAATTCTACCCTTACAATCATATTCAGAAAATTAATTTAATTACACTAGACTGCAGGCATTGAAATTATTATTTATTGTGCCTTTAAGAATCGCATCTGGAGATAGAAAGCATTTGTTAAAAAAACTGAACCATAGCCCATATTATAATCCGCTGCCTACAGCGCATAATGAAGGCTTCTGATGCTTTAATCTTGCTTGGTCTGAGATTTCAAATATGCTACTGTTAGGCGAGGGTAATCTACTATAAGAAGTTTCGAATGGGGAGTGAAGTAAAACAAAAACCATCCGGCTGCTCGTTTTCTGTTTTCAATATTGCAAAATATTAGTCTTATAGCAGCCTGCGGTTGTTAATCAATAGTCGCTACCCAAATGTATTTGGACAATGAAAGACAGGCATCTCTTTATAGGCATTTACAAGTATACGAGTTTGTACGAATACCTCCCCTGTGCTCACACTCTTTCGCTTCCACTCATCAGGCATATGAATATTTTATCAGCCTCCGCAGGCAAATGAAAAGCAAATAGTGAGAACAACAGCGGCAAATTACAACAATGAGCCATGTGCTCGACAACTGGAGCACAAGCGCATTACAAGGATATCACAACAGTGACCCAAAAGCATTAAGGCATGTCCGACATTTTAGATTCCACAAACAATGACAATGGGCGGCGAAATGCGAGGTTAGGGCACACAATGAAGACCGAGCTGTGAAATAAAATGTAAGGAATATTATAATGTGTATCGGTGCGATAATGGTGTGTATGTGTGTGTTTTCGGGATGGGTAGGTGCTTGGCTTTTGTGTCCTGTAAATTGTCCAACATGATCTAACAAAACACTAAAGGTGGGTGAAAGGTTCAAGGAAATTTTAGGAGTATGTACCTGAGTTACACTTCTTCAAGTACGAGTAGTTATGGAAAGGACACTTTCTAGTTAAACTTAGCTACCTGGACATTGACTTGATTTATGTCTAGCGAGGACTGACAGTTTGGACAAATTTGCAGATCCCGTAATTCTACTGAAGACCCAAACTAACCATGCGGCGTTTTTTCATTTCTTTCTTTCTATACACAGCTACGCAATGCTGCCCTCAATTGCCCGGCCTACTCGGACATTTACAGCGAGTACAACAATGGTGCGGATGCAGCAGCAACAACAACAGCCAGCAAGAATCTCAACTTGGCCTTCAAGAAGTGTCAACAATGGAGCAACAAGCTGCAAATGTTGGATGAGAACCAACAGCCGCAGGAGCCACAAAATGCGGCCACAACACTAAGTCGCACGCACAAGGTCTACGATAGCATGAAGGACTTTCTGCGACGCAAATTGTTTGCACAGCCTGTGGCATCGACAACCATGGACCATGACAAGGCGGAGGTGCTGGGCACAGACGAGGAGGCCACTAGCGACTATGATGAGGTGAGTGTTGAGGCAAGTCGCTTCAAGAGTTCGGCATAGTTAACTAAACTCGAATTTCCTTTATTCCCTAGCATGATCTACTCGACTCTTCATACAATGCCGATGTAGAGGAGGAGTACGACGAAGAGGAGGTGGAGGACTGCAGCTGCACCTCAAGCCACTCAGCCAGCATTGAGGCCACGCCCAGACGCACTAAGTCGCCACAAAAGTCGCTGCTCTCGCTAAACTGCTGGCAATCGAGCCAGCATAGTGATACGAGCAGCAGCGAAGAACTGGCCGCCGAGGACTCCGATGCGGGCATATCAGATTGCTGTCAGCTGCTAAGTGGCAGCAGTGAACGAAGTCAGAGGAAGCAAACGAGGCTGCCTTCTCGCCAGAGTATTAGCCACAAGTCGAACGATGACGATGACGATGACACGGATACGGAGGAGTCGGAACTTTTAGACTGTGCCTGGTATCAGCCGCGCATTAGCGCCAAGGCCGCTCTGGAGCACCTCCAAGAGGCGACACCCGGCACCTTTCTGCTGCGCCGCAGCACGCCTCGAACCTTTGAGCTGTGCCTGCGCCTCGAGCGCAAAGTCAAGCAATATGCGGTGCAGAGCACACGCACCGACATGTATCGATTGAAGGGCGCCAAGAAGCAGTTTAGCACGCTGAAGGCGCTAATTACACATCATTCGGTAATGGCCGAGCAGCTGCCACTGACCCTCGACATGCCGCGGGAGAAACATGTGGTCAAGTGCTCAGCCGTGCGTTATGCCGACGATTTCGAGCCCCTCGAATCGTTACAACTGCTGGGCATACTCAAAAGTTTACAAGCCAAGAACTTTGAGGTGTAGATGGGCGACTGAAGGATATACAAATTGTTATGGGGGAGGGGATCATTTAAAGTAGAGCTTCGGATTTAACTTTGGGGTATGCGTTTATGCCAACTGCAAAGGGAACGATAGGTGAAATTATGCTTAGTTTTTTATTTTCGTACAGCTGCGTGTGAATGCTTTGTGATATAGCGTATATGCATTACAATACGCATTACATTATAGATTTCCATGTTTAAATTTACATTTAAGTGCTACAATAATATACTTCTCTTAAGTTTACAATTGTACATGTTTATGTAATCGACTCTGTAAATAGACTGTAATTTATGTGCGTTATTATATAATAAATGAACGGAAAAAAACTGAACAATGTCATCGTGCGAATGCAACCCTTGCCTTTAATTTTACATTCACTTTTGTTTAAATGCTCCACGCCTCCTTTCCCCGAGCGTCTACTCCTCTTGTTGCTGCGTAAATTCCCACTGCCATTGTATGTCCTCTTTGCGGGCATATCCTGTGCATTCCTACCCCAAGCTCGACAGCTTCACTTACATGTGATTAGCGTTTCAAGTGCTCTCATTAATTTTTCAAGTGCGGTGTGCGTTGCACACACGGAACTCAATTTTCCGGCAAATTGTTGCCACACAATGGTTTTTGTTGCTGGCAACATTTTGGATGAGCTGGTATTTAGTGAAACTTTACGAACATTCCAGAATGCTAAAAGAAAGCAATTGAATTGAAATTGCCAGGGGTAAATATATACAGATATTACAAATGGTATTACAAGCGCGATGGAAATACCTGTATGATAAAAAGTAGCTATCAGAATGATGCTAACTCTTTTGTTTCATTTCTGAAAGAGATATCCCTTTATATACGATTCAGTTGTACGTTTATCGTATATAATACATCCGAGTATGTACATATGTATATGAACAGCAACACATACATTTTTGAACTAAGAAAGGGTATTTAAAACTAGTATCATCATGAACAAAAATGGTATTCATTTAAAACAGCAAGGACTGGAAAAATTAAACTCCCACTTTGCTTCAAATTTAACATTATTAACCAATTTTTCGTTTTATCTTTAAATTTGTCAATTATTTTTTGCTCATCTTTCGATATCTGCGTTAAGATATTCCTTGCAAGGATAAAGAACTGTAAAGTGAAATTAAAAAAGCACACAAAAGTATGCAATAAATTGTAACACAACTGATGGCACATTAACATTTTCCTCCTAAAAGTATGTTACAAAATAAAGTAAAATCGCGCAGTGTTTTATTCACTCAAAATGAAGTCACCGGTTATTTTAGAAGTCGTAATTTCTATTGCCTCCAAAAAAGCACCAATCCAGAACTAATAAAACTTGTGAGTCGTCCGAAAAACTCCTGAGGTGTCAAAGAATATCAAGAGATTATCAATTATTATCAGTTCAATGAAAGGAATGTATAAAACCAAACTGATATAAATATGAAAAAGAATTGTTCTGTTGCAGTAATTAATTCTCATTACATTTTGTTGACTGTGTAAACAAAATTCCAAAAAACAACAATGAGTAATATTCGTAAAATCAAAATAAATGTTTTCATTTCCATAAAAACATTGCCGACAATTAAATTGCGAATGAACGAAACGCTGACAGTATTAATTTCGTTACAACATTAATAAAGGCATCGAAATGAACAATGATTATGGTCTGAGAGACAGGAAGTGAATGTTGATAAATATGTACAAAACGTATTATGTTCATGACAATAAATTAAATGTGCAAATAAATAAAAGATGATTGAGTTGCTCACTCCATTCAATACATTGTGCGCAACGTGCATTGTCTGATTGAGTAATTTTTGATTTAATCCGCAGATGCGTATTAAATGTTTGTTGAAGCTAAAATAGTTCTGATTTACTCTGTTTATTTAGCATCGTTAAAGAGAATGTCGTTTCATCTTTTAAAACAATAGCAGCAACATTTCGGTAAAATGCCAAAATTAAGTTTGTTTTTCTGTAAAAAGGTTATAAAAATTTTTGGAAGAACGCTTCGAGTGTCATTATCATCGCTGGCCTTCTCTGTTTTACCCCGCAAGCCATAGATGATGGTCTCCAAATGGAAGTTTATAATATTACTGCTCTCGCTCACGAGTCTACTGGTAAGTCAACATATTTTTCGCCAGAAATTTCTCATTTTCAGAGCTCAGTTTTCAGACTCAGTCGCTGGCGAAGGATTTTTACGTAGATATGGCGGACGGTAGACGAATTTATAGGAATGTTGATGCCAATGGTGTTGCCTGGGCATATGAAATGAAGACGGTTAAGGATCCTGATACAGGTAACACGAAAAGTGTCATTATTTATACCGGCCTGTGGGAAGAAGTGATGCAAAAGAGAAGCAGTAGTAATTTTCACAAAACTATCAACATTTGGACGGCACTAGCTGCTACAATGGGATTCATTATATGAACAGCTTCCCATATTATTACTATAATACATATGTATGTACCTTAGAATCTGCATACTAAGTATATGCAATAAATAGAGAACGACTGCCCATGTTATTAGTGTAAATTGTACCTTAGAAAATGTATACTAAGTACTATATGCAATAAATAGAGATGGAGAGAAACCCCAATGCAATAGCATTGAAATGAACATTTTCACTTTGGTCAACTGTCTGTAATGAGTTTAAATTCAAATGCTGTCTTAATTGCATAGCAGCCACAGCCACAGACTCACACACACACATGCACACGCACACTAATGAAGTACTTTCAGCAGCAGCAGAAATGTATGCTATACTTTTTTCCACAGCAACTTATCCCTTTCACTGGCTGTTTGCATAATTTTTCACTTGTTTGTTTAGCTTTTCACTGCAAAGTATACAATTGCAGCAACACACCAAGCACACATCCACAACGCACACGCACACAGCATAAATATACGCTTATATGACCTGAGTGAGTGTGTGGCACGACGACAAGGACGAACGACAGTTGCAATTTCATTTTCATTTGTTTATTGCGCACTAATTAAGGCAGCGGCAAGTTCAACGCGTTCGCTCGCTGTAACTGTGAATGGCTGAAAAAGCTGGAAAGGCTGTGCAAATACTAGTGCACTAATGAAGGAAACTCATAAAGAAAGTGAATTACACAAGAAGCAGAAATATTTGGTCTCACAGCCAAGCGGTGTCTAAAACGAATTTTCTTTTGAGATACGATCATAAACTTGAACACTATTGAAAAACAGATATGCCATCTCATTCTGAAGCAAATCAATTTAAAAATATATGAATGAAATATGTTAAAGTAATATTTTGTTATTAATAACTAATTTAATGAAGGTTTAAAAAATATTAGAAAAAACTGACTTCTTACTGACTGCTGATTTTCCTCACCTTCGCTAGCCTTTCACCTGTTTGTGCTTTACCATCGCTTCCACTGCCCCTTTGCCTATATTTCATTCATAGCCATTAAGCTATTACTTTCTTGGTAGATCAAACAATAATCTGGAGAAAGTAACAAAATGCAATTATTTCTTATCGTATACCTACTATGTTCTTTGCTCTAGACTTTTAAGTCCTTCATTTTAAATTATAGCTTAAAATTAAATACGAATATCTGCAGAGCAAAACAATTCTTTTTTAGAAACAAAATTAACGAATTGCAACTATAATATTTGAATTATACTCCCGTTTTTATAATTAGTTTGTTAATAAAGAGTACTAGGTATGTATTTCATTTATTTATTTCTATAAAAATATAGTGTCAGAAAAAATTATACAGATAAGTTACAAAGTAAATAATAAGAAAATAATAATACCTTTACAATTTGAATAACATTTCTATATATTTACTGGCCACCAGTTTGTGAAGTGAAAAATTGTGAATTCTGTAATCTCAACAGTAGCTGTGAGAAATTTTAAGTTTATTTTGCTTTATTGTTTCAGCTTGCTCTTTTCAAAAATTAATTCTAAAGGTAAAGCTAGCCAATAGCTAGATAAGAACTTGTCAAACTTGTCGGTCAATAAATGGTATTCATAAGTTTGCTTAGCACTCCAATATGTCTGACATTTTATGATTGGATGATGAGAAAGATCTTTGTACTGTAGCTACAATCAAGCACACACCTTTAATTTCATAAGCTATGGCTAGACGACACAATTCGGAGAGGCAGCCTTCTGCACTCAATAGACAGACGTGGCAAACACGGCGTATGCGCATTTTACATGCAACAATTCGCTTTTAGTCTAATTAAAAATAGAATTTTTTCTAATTGAATGCGCTGCCAAAATGCGGCCCCAGCCTTTGCACGTGCACCCATGCTCACATGGCACGTCACGTGCAGGCGCAACGGTAAATGGCAGACGCTGTGGTCGTTGGGGGCAATGAAAAATCGATAAGCGTTGCTATCGAGATGAAACGCTGCAAAAGCAACAGCGGCGGCAGTGAAGCCATGAAGCCATGATGCTGAAAAGCAGAAACAACAAAGCTGCGGCCAAAGCAGCCATTCACCTGTAGCGGAGTTTGCCGCATAGATGGGTATTCTCGCATTACAAAAGAATCGACGATTATGTGAATGGGAACGAGGGCATGCCATATGCGTATGCTTTGGCAAGGATTATCTGCTGTTTATATGTGATTTATTTGCCACAGTGTGTGTGTGTGCGTGCTTGAAAGCGTTGCCTTGGCAAACGACAGGATACACAAGAGCGTCCGCCATTGCCTTTGTGTGCTTGGCACGTCAATGCACAAATGTTGTGCGTTTTAATTAGCACGCATTTGGCGTCATCCCTCCAATGCTCCAATCCGCCAATCCGGTTCACCTCATCGCATAATTAGCTGCATAAACCGCACACTGCGGCCATGCGCTGAAATCGCAAAGCCATTTAATGCATTGCGGCCAAAGTGGTGCAATTAAATTTTGCAGTCACTCGACTAATAAATTCCACAATACACCCGGGAAGCAAATTAATTTCAAACTAAATTGGAGAAACAATGTGCAGTCGAGTCTAGTTGCGTAAAATTATATTAAAAATTTGGCTTAATTCCATCTCTTTTATTAACTCAATTAATCAAAAATATAATAGTCTAAAAACTGCGGGAAAACAAACACCAATAAGCTTTTGACTTTGAGGGGAAGATTTCAGAAATCCTGTAAAAGAATCTGACAAAATTATAATAATTTCGTCGCAGATACATGAAAAGTTATGTCTTCATAGAGTAATTTGAAGTAACAAAACAAATTTGGAAGCAAACAATTGCCAAGTTTTATCATGATAGGTCCATTGTGAAGAAAGTTATAGCCCGCAGCTATTATTGTTGTTGCTGATTTGATTTAAATCTGTACTGTTTTTTTCTTGTTTCAATTATTATTTTATTTAAAAAGCCTATCTTATCAAACTAATTTTGATTAATGAAGGCTAACAGATGTTCCCAAATTAAAAAAATTTTGCAATTTTGGCGAAGGGTATCAACAAACATATATGTACATACATGTATGTGCTATGCATTCAAAAAAATATAAAATAGACCTCTAATGAGCGGTCAACAGCGTTTGTTTTCTTTGCTTAAATGTAACTCATAACTTTATTATATTAGCAATACTTTTTTTTATATTAAAACATATATTTTTCGATTCTTAGTTCTAAGTACATTTTTCTAGACGTTTTATGGACAAAGGATTTTTTGTTATTTATAATTTGATCACCATTTAAAGAAAATGTTTTTCTACCAAAATGTTTGCTACAAATGGCAAGTGTCAGCAGCCAAGTGAAAAATTTAATAAGTAAGCACAAAAATTCAATCAGATGCACTGTCGAAAAGGCAAACGAGAGAAGCGAAAAAAAGGACACCGCAGCCCTGTTAGCGTGACGGAAATTATGTGCCACTTGAATGTCCAACGAGGCATGCAGCAGGCAGCTAGCGAAGTGTGCACACTACTCAAGTACGATGTAAGCCTCGCTAAGAAAGTGCCACAACAGCGACAAGTGCCACAAGGATGCGGGCAAGTCCGACAAGAGAATACAGCAAATTGTGTCACCAGTGACAGGACTGCTGGATGCACACAATGGGAACTTATTAGTGCGCCCCCAAAGCGACTGATCAGCAACACGCACAAGGTTGAAAAACGGAGCAGCGAATCCTCCATTCCAACCCAGCCTAGCCCAGTAACTGACATACTGGCTAACTGACTTACTGACTGACTGCCTTACTGACTCACCGAGTTTCTGTGCCAATTTTTAAAGACAGTGTAAGAAAGGCAACTCAACTTGTTTTGACCGCAGCGACTGAGCACGATTGCGTTGGCAAGTAGTACGTGAGGGCGCAGCATTGGCGACGCCTGAAAGTATGCAACAAGCAGTGCACTCAATTGTCTTTCCCTGCCTCTTCCTTCATGTCTTTATGAGGTTCTTGCTGCGCTGAATGGGAATCTAGGCTACGATGGTAGCATATAATCAGAATACATAAGACCATACATTTATAACTGAGCTAGTCAGCAAGCAGTTGAAGGAGATGCTCTCTTTTTATGCAATTTATTTGCAACAGAAAATCAATTCCTGGCTCCCGTTTAAATTTCTCTAAACTGCATTCGAAGATTTTGCGATTTTAAGTAAATACTTCTGATATATAAGAATACCAAATATTGCGAATATATTCGAGTGTACAAATAATTCAATTTCTAAGCATCTTCTACCAATTAGTATAACAACTCTTCTAACAGTCTTCTTAATTGCAGATGGCCTAAGTGGCTTTTGTCCGAGGAACGCTATTTTGTTAATAATACCTAAAATATTTATTGTATTTTCTGAAATATTATGTTAAATGCTTAGTTTAGCAGCCTTTAATTGGAGGAACATGTTGTATACGCGGCCAGTAGTCTGGAGGGTGAGGGATTGGTTGGGCGAAAAGATTGAATATTAAGATATTTGTATATACATTTGCTGCTACAGTGTTCTTGGAAGATGCTACAGCATCTACACATTTGTACATTTATTATTATGTCACTTCGACATTTGGCATCTATAATAAGATTGAGATTCAAATTTTGTGTCATATTTATCATAATTTTCCGCTTTTAACACAAATAATTGACTCAATCAAAAAGTCACCGACAACTCCAACCAACTCTTAGCATTTAATCCTGCCCCATTACGGCGTGACTAGCAGCCGGATAAATAATTATTAAGAAAAGAATCAATCGTTCCTCAACGTGCCCGCTGGCAGCATCCAAAGAGAATGTCTGAACACGCTCCACATGTGGCGGCACCCAAACTCCCATAACTCATAGATTTACAATCTTATATACCAAGGCAAAAAAAAAAGAAAGATTTGTACACTAGCCCGGGGCTAAAGTGAAGAAATTTAATTTTAAGAAAAGCGCACAGCCCAGCAGCAGGAAGTTCGTAGTCGACGAATAAGCGAGAAAATATGTATTGTAAGAGCCAGGATATACAGAAAATACTACGATACATAACGACACAAGCGAGCTGACTTCCCGTTGGCAAACAAGAGCAGGGAATGGGCGAGTGAGAAACAAACAAACAACAGCAAAAATGCCA